GAGGGTGGCTGACTGCCACCCCATTGTAAGAGTAGAGGTCAGGGACTGCCCCAGGCCACTCCGGCAGACCTGTGTCTTCATTTAACTCACTGTGCCTGAACGTCACATGGCGGTGCTGCAGGGTCCGTCTGGGGCCCAGCTGGGTGGGGTTCACATACTGGGGTGAGGGATCAAGAAGGGTGTCCGCTGCAGTGGAAAGAGGGCGGGCTGCGGACTTTTCAGACTTTCAACCTCCCGAATGACCTAGGCTAGTCACTTAGCCGGTGGTCTGACCTCCATCTGTGAGTGAGTCACAGTCACAGGGCTTCCCTAGACCCCGGTGAGCTCCCGTCATGACCTTGCGAGGTCGGGGCAGGGTGGGTAGGGTGAAATATCTGGGTGTGTGGCAGCGGGTGGGGCCGCGCGGGGGGCCTGGGGGTGGGGGCGGGCCCTGCGCTTGGTGGCGGCGCCGGCAAACTGGGCGGGCTCAGAGCTCAGAGCCGAGGCAGCTGCGGCGGCAGCAGGTGGGTTGCAGCGGATCCTACGCGGGACCGGGACGGGGACAGGGATGGGGACGGGGACAGGGATGGGGACGGGGACGGGGACGGGGACGGGACGGGGGACGGGCTCAGGCCCAAGAGCAGGCGAAGGCGCAGGTGTCCGGGGACGGGGGCGCGGCGGAGCTGGCTCTGGCAGCAGCGGCGTGTCGGGCATGGGGAGGTGTGCGGGCCCAGGGTGTCCCTGCATTCCGCCCGGCGCGCGGATACCCCAGTCTGGCCACGGTGGCGGGGGCGGGGGCGGGGTGTGTGTGGCCGCCACTGTCTGTGGCAGGTGGCTGCCTGGGCCACGCCCGCCCCGACGCAGAGCCGTGGCTCCTGTTCCGGGTCCGGCTCTACTCTGGGGAAGCCTCGGTTTCATCTGGCTCTGGGACCCCACCACTGAGCCGTTCCCAGTCTCTCTCCCAGCTTCGCCTGGTGCTGCTCCCTCCCCACCCCACCCAGCAGGTGAGTAGGTGGGGCCCCACCAGGCCTCCTCTGCTGCCTGGGATGCAGACAGGATCTCCAGGCTTCCTATGACCTCCTGCCCACAGGCTCTGACACCGGCCCCATTCCAGCCCTTCAGCAGGCCTCCTGTTCGGGTGTCCAGGTCGGCAGGGCAGGGACAGAGAGAGGACTGGGGGTGGTCAGACCAAAAGGGATGGAAGGCCGGCTGGGCATCCTGTCATTCCCCTCTGGCCCTAGCAGGTTCCAGTAGCTGGCTCGGTGCTCTTCTCGGCCACCTGCCATGGCCCGGGGGCTGCCCAGCATGGCCAGCCTGGCTCGCTTATGCCGAGACGTCACTGCGGCGCTGCCTGCCCCACACTGGACTGACCTCTGGCGTGGGGTGCATGGTGGCCGGGCCTTCTATTGCTAACAGGTTACTGTCGGCTGGCCCTGCTGTGCTCTTGTCCTTCGGTGTGGCTGCTGTGGCCTCCCTGCTGGCAGCCCTATGCTATGCAGAATTCGGGGCACGTGTGCCACGCACGGGCTCTGCCTACCTGTTCACCTATGTATCCATGGGCGAGCTGTGGGCCTTCCTCATCGGCTGGAATGTTCTCCTCGAATACATCATTGGTGGTGCCGCCGTGGCCCGTGCCTGGAGTGGCTACCTGGACTCTATGTTCAGCCACAGCGTCCGCAACTTCACTGAGACCCACGTGGGTTCCTGGCAGGTGCCCCTTCTGGGCCACTACCCAGATTTCCTGGCTGCTGGCATCATCCTCCTGGCCTCTGCCTTTGTCTCCTGTGGAGCCCGCGTCTCTTCCTGGCTCAACCACGCCTTCTCGGCCATCAGCCTGCTTGTCATTCTCTTCATTGTCATCCTGGGCTTCATCCTGGCCCAGCCTCACAACTGGAGCGCTGAGGAAGGCGGCTTTGCACCCTTTGGCTTCTCCGGCGTCATGGCTGGCACTGCCTTCTGCTTCTATGCTTTCGTGGGCTTCGACGTCATTGCCGCCTCCAGCGAGGAGGCCCAGAACCCACGGCGGTCCGTGCCTCTGGCCATCGCCATCTCACTTGCCATTGCAGCTGGTGCCTACATCCTTGTCTCCACCGTGCTAACCCTCATGGTGCCCTGGCACAGCCTGGACCCCGACTCAGCGCTCGCAGATGCCTTTTACCGGCGGGGCTACAGGTGGGCTGGCTTCATCGTGGCAGCTGGCTCCATCTGCGGTAAGAGACTTCCTGGGCAGGGTGGCAGGGAAAAGAGCAAGGGGCGGGGCTCTGTCCTCAGATTCACCTTCACCTGAGGCTGTTTTACTAGTTGCATAATGGGGCAAGGAAAGTGCTAATTATTAGAAACTCTTCACTTCAAAAAAATTTCTTCAGAAACTTTTTGGACGGGACCTCCCCACACATGGTCCATAGCATATTAGTGCTGGGCATGTCCTTATAGATTATTTCCTAGGCAGAGGGACTCAGCTCTCATCAGATGCTCCAGTGGGCCTGTGACCCATCCCAGATGTCCTGTTCTTGGGCAGAGCACTGACAATCTATTACTCCTACACACACTCATGCTTACTCTGAGAGCCCAGACAAGCTCATGCCCATGTTCCTAAGGAACCACCCGTGCACCGACCCCCAGCAGAGGCCCCTGGTGGGCTTCTCCGCCATGCTGACCCTCCCCACTCTCTCTGCTACAGCCATGAACACTGTCCTGCTCAGCCTCTTCTTCTCCCTGCCACGCATTGTCTATGCCATGGCCGCCGATGGGCTCTTCTTCCAGGTGTTTGCCCGTGTGCATCCCCGGACACAAGTGCCTGTGGCAGGCACCCTGGCGTTCGGGCTTCTCACAGCCTTCCTGGCACTGCTGCTGGACCTGGAGTCGCTGGTTCAGTTCCTGTCCCTTGGCACACTCCTGATCTACACCTTCGTGGCCACCAGCATCATTGTGCTGCGCTTCCAGAAGTCTTCCCCGCCCAGCTCCCCAGGCCCAGCCAGCCCTGGCCCCCTGACCAAGCAGCATAGCTCCTTCTCAGACCACCTACAGCTAGAGGGCACTACGCACACCTCCCTGCCTGAGCCAGGGAAGCTGCAGCCAGCCCTGAGGCCCTACCTGGGCTTCTTGGATGGGTACAGCCCTGGAGCAGTGGTGACTTGGGCGCTTGGCGTTATGTTGGCCTCAGCCATCACCATAGGCTGCGTGCTCGTCTTTGGGAACTCGACCCTGCACCTCCCACACTGGGGTTACATCCTGCTGCTCCTGCTCACCAGTGTCGTGTTTCTGCTCAGCCTCCTCGTCCTGGGGGCTCATCAGCAACAGTATCGGGAAGACTTGTTTCAGGTACCTCCCCCAGCCAGCACCCACTCGTGCTCTGCCCAGGCAGCTGCCTCCCCTTCCCCCACTGCCATCCCAGAATGAACAAGGCTCACAGGGCTGGGGAGGATGGCACACCCATCCTGCACCCCTTTCTGCATGGTGAGTGAGCACATGTCTCCACAACCTCCTGAGAGGGAGAAAGGCTGTATGGATTCCCGAGAAAGTGGGCCCTGGGCTGGCAGATCTTTCCTGCAGCCCGGTCCAGCCCTGCCCTGCCCTTGCCTCCTCAGATCCCCATGGTTCCCCTGATTCCAGCCCTGAGCATCCTCCTCAACATCTGCCTCATGCTGAAGCTGAGCTATCTGACCTGGGTGCGCTTCTCCATCTGGCTGCTGATGGGTGAGTGGGGGCCAGGCTGAGACCGGGGTCAGGAGGAGGGCAAAGAGGACCGGAAGGGCTGGAACCTGTACCTCAGGCTCATGCCCTGCCTCCTGCCCTGTCTAGGACTCGCAGTGTATTTCGGCTACGGCATCCGGCACAGCAAGGAGAACCAGCGGGAGCTGCCAGGGCCAAACTCCACGCACTACGTGGTATTCCCCAGGGGCAGCCTGGAGGAGACAGTGCAGGCTGTGCAGCCCCCTAGCCAGGCGCCAGCGCAGGACCCCGGCCATATGGAGTAGCTGGTCAGCCCACACTTGCCCTGCTCTCCCACACCTGCTTGGGAGGCCAGAGAGGCCAGACAAGCCGGGAGCCCCTTCTGTTGTGGGCAGCCTGGGTTTGCAGGCCTGTGCAGGCTGGGGTGTCCTCAGGACCTTAGGACTTTGTCCAGGAGCTGAACTTCAGGTCTTCAGGAGTGGGCCTTGGCCGATGCTGGTGCCATGGACTCTGCCCAGAGCCTTCTTGTTTATAATCAGCTCCAACTACCTGGGCAGGTGTGGTGGGGTGGACGGGAAGGCCCACAGCCCAAGGGATCCATAATAATAATTGCTTGGCCAGCCATGTGGCCTGCTGGCATATCCACTGTGGCACTCTTTATGGCACCGAGTCTTCACCTGCCCCATAGAACCAGGCAATTGTCTCCAATCCACACCAAAGTTGCTGGGGTCTCCAAAGAGTAGGTGCCAGTCCTGGGACCACCCTGAGTCAGGGACACAGGTGGGCCTGGATCCAGGTGCCCAGCTAAGAGGGGAGCCACACACACCAGGCAAGGAGGGTTCCATGACAGGTCTGGGGTCAGGCTCCCCACATCTGCTAGGTGGCAGATCCAGGGGGCAGAGCTGGGGCCCCAAGGAGGCCTCCTAGACAGGGCAGCAGGGTTCAGAGGATGGCATGCACTTGAGGCCTGCCCGGCACAGGCACACCCACAGGGACACACACGTCCCTGCCGGCACTACCCTGGAGTGCACGCCTGTGTGCAGACTGAGGCGACAGCTGTTTCTGAGCTCAGGCCCAGGCTGAGGCTCTCTTGCTGTCTCTGCCCACTCTTCAAGGGCTTTGAGGTGAAAAGAGTGTGGCCCTCAGGCTCCGACATGGGTGCACAAGTGTCCAGGCCTGTTCCAGTTACCTTTTAGCCCACCCGGTAGCTGCAGGGCCTCAGTCTTCAGGGGTAGAGTCCCCAAGTCCACCCTGCACTGCCCCAGTGGTCTCCCCACGGCTGTGCCATGTCTACCATAGATGCCCCCCAACTTTCCAGTCCTGCCTGTAAGGACTACACAGGAAGAGGGTGGCTTTGCTGGCTTTACTCCGCGACTTTCTCCAGCCATGACATCAGCTTTCTCTGGGCTCCAAGGAGAATCAGGGGCATGTGCCCCTCCTTGGATACCCAGGCCTCAGGGGCCACACTCTCCCACCCTAGCCCTTCAGAGCCCAGCTCCCGAAGGACATGGCTCTGGGGATTGAGAGGCAGCAGGGACCCCAGGCATTTTACTGAGGCTCCAGGTGGCAGATGATTCCAGATGTCAGCCCAGCCTCAGCCCCACCCCTGGCCCTCCACAGCATGCCCTCATCACCAGGTACCCACAATGGAAAGCAGCCCCTTGCCTCCCTGGGTTGGACAATTAGATTTCCCTGCCCTGCCCTGGGACCAAGAGGAGAATTCCAGCTGCAAAACCCAGCCAGCCTGAGGGAGATCTCGGTGGTGTTGTTTGGAACCATTCCTTCCAGCCACTCCACCCAGCCTAGGATCAGAGACAGGGTCCCTCAAGCAGCTGCGCTCAGACAGCTTCCTAAGTATGACTTCTGTGGCTGACTTCTGTGGTTCCCCGAGGCAGCATCCTGCTAAGGCAAGAGTCAGGGGAGAGACTGTCTGCTGGGGTTCAAGGGTGGAATTCTACCCCTAATCCTCAATCATCTCAAGGATGAGATCCCCAAGCAGGGCCCCACCCTCCCCAACCCCCAACTCTCAACCAGCAGGGAATGGCTACGGGCTTCAGGAATGGGCTGGCAAGTGGGTGTCAGAACTTGGACAGGGCCATCCTGGTGTCTGTGTCTGACTCCCAGCAGCAGTGGCCGTGGGTGCAGGTGCTGAGATCTGTCTAAGGCACTTGGCCAGTCGGGCTTGGGATGCAAGGGCCAGCTCACTCCACACAGAGTTGGCGGTTGCCTTCGGGGCCTTTGCCTGCAGACGAGGACAGCAGGTCAGGGATCCAGCCAACTTCTAAGTGTGGCAGAACCCAGAGTCCAAGCAGAGTGACCTCAGCTCACCTCCTCATACTTTGTCCTCCAGTAGAAATGGGCTTCTCTATCCACATACAGCAGCAGCAGGTCACAGATAAAGGTGACCTGGGAGAGGCAGGGCCAACCCATGTTCCAGCCCCCGAGCCTGCTCTCCTGCCACCTCCCCAGCCTGCACCCCGAGATTCAATGTGCAGGCACCGGAGCCTCCAGCATGCGTTGGACACACCCTGGTCAGCGGCACTCACCGCAGCCTGCAGGTGCCCACAGTGCTTGCACTCACCACGCCCAGCCAAGCTGCCCCAGTGCCCAGTGTGACGGCCATGGGAATGAGCCCAAACTTCCCTGCCTGAGAGAGATCTGAGCTGAACCTCTCAGCCCACGACTGTCGGCCTCATGCCTCCTCCAGCCCTGTCTGCTTTGCCGCCTCCCATCCCCGGCCTGACCCCTACCTGTGCCTACCTGCCCGGTGACAAGGATGTCGAAGCGGATTCCGTAGAGTTTGAGCAGGGTGCGGGCCTCCACACCCGGTTGCTCCCACCAGTAAGTGGCTGTCCTGCGGGCAGGAAAGAGGGCTCTGGTGGCCTGCTTTGCCCACCCACAGGTGGGACTGGCCCTGCCAGGCCTCTGTCCAACTTATCCATTGACTGTAAACCCCAGCCCAAGCCTGAGTCCTGGGTCTCAGCCCTGTGTCATTGGTGAGAAAACAGAAAAAGCAAACCAAGACCTGTCCCTCAGAAGTTCCCTGCCTGCTGAGGGGATGGGGGACAGAGGAGTCCCTAAACAGACCCAGCAGCGGGGATGTGAAGGAGCAGGCTCAGGGCTGAGGGATTCCAGAGATGGGAACTCACTCTTCCCTGGCAACTGGGGTAGGCTTCCTGGAGGGGACATGAGACTGGGCCTGGAGGAACATGTGCACAAATGGTTTGCCAGCACAGAGGTGGGGGGAACAGGATGTGGGTGGGAGCCAGCCCCGCACGGTTTCGAAGGGCTCGGGAGGTTGGGGAAACCAGACCAGACGGGATGCAGTGAGCTGTGTTGAGGGGCATCATCCCCAGGCCTGGTGGCCATGTGTGCCTGCCTGCATGACGAGGTGACACTCAGTGGCAGAAGGATCCAATAAATCTGCTTAGAAGACTCAAAGACATGATAATAAATGCAATTTAAGAACCTTGAGGCCAGGTGCGGTGGCTCAGGCCTGTAATCTCAGCACTTTGGGAGGCTGAGGCAGGTGGGTCACCTGAGTTCAAGAGTTCGAGACTAGCCTGACCAACACGGTGAAAACCCATATCTACTAAAAACACAAAAATCAGCTGGGTGTGGTGGCATGCACCTGTAATCACAGCTACCTGGGAGGCTGAAGCAGGAGAATTGCTTGAACCCGGGAGGCAAAGATTGCAGTGAGCCGAGATCAGGCCACTGCACTTCAGCCTGGCACCAACAAGAGCAAAATTTCATCTAAAAAAAAAAAAAGCCAGGCATGGTGGCTCATGCCTGTAATCCCAGCACTTTGGGAGGCCGAAGTGTGTGGATCACCTGAGGTCAGAAGTTCGAGACCAGCCTGACCAACATGGCAAAACCCCATCTCTACTAAAAATACAAAAATTAGCCAGGCATTGTGGCACACACCTGTAATCCCAGCTACTCCGGAGACTGGAGACTGGAGAATCACTGGAAGCCTGGAGCAGAAGTTGCAGTGAGCCAAGATCACGCCACTGCACTCCAGCCTGCACAGCAAGAAAGTGAAAACTCCGTCTCAAAAAAAAAATTTTTAAATTAAAAAAAAAATAAATAAAGTACAAGGCCGCATGGTGCTCACGCCTGTAATCCCAGCACTTTGGGAGGCTGAGGCAGGTGGCACTCATAGGAGTCAAGACATGAATCAAGGACCATCCTGGCCAACATGGGTGAAAAACCCGTCTCTACTAAAAAATACAAAAATCAGCAGGAAATGGCTGTGCACACACCTGGTAGTCCCAGCTACTCGGGAGCTGAGCAGGAGAATTGCTTGAAGTCTCGGGAGGTGAGGGCTTGCAGTGGAGCCGGAGAATCTGGCACCATGCACCTATACAGCCTGGCAATAGATCGAGGAACTCTGCTCAAAAAAAATAAACATAAAAGGCCAGGTCAGTGGCTCTACAACCTATAATCCCAACATTTTTAGGAGGCCCGACGGCGGGGTTGGATCACCTGAGGTGCAGGAGTTCGAGCGACCAACAATGGTGAACCCTATCTCTACAAAAGATCAAAAATTAGCCTGGGCATTGGTGGTGACGCCTCTAATCCAGCTTACTTGCGGGCGCGTCTCGAGGCGCACGAGAATTGCTTGAACCTGGAGCAGAGGTTCCAGTGAGACCGAGATTCTTGCCATCGCACTCAGCCTGGGGTGACAAGAGTGAGACTACCGTCTCAAAAACAAAAAAAAAAAAAATCCTTGGGAGGCGCGTCCTAGATTGGAAAGTACCAAGGCTTAGGATGCACTGTTGCGAGCGAAGCTGGGGGAGCATTAAGCTATTAGACTTTATTTGCCAGCACCTGGAAGTGGTCACACCTGTAATCTCAATACTTTGGAAGGCTGAGGTGTGGGAACAGCTGATCACTTGAGCCAGGGAGTTCAAGACCAGCTGGCAACATAGGAACCGTATTTCTATACTGTGTATTTAAAATCTAAAAAAGATTTATTGCTTGCTGAAATGTCTTTCTTTCTTTTCTTTCTTTTTTTTTTTTTTTTTTTATTGGCGAGACGAATCTCACTCGTGTCTCCCCAGGCTGGCACGTGCAAGTGGGCGCGATCTCCGGCTGCCACTGCACAGCTCGTCCGCCGGGGTCACGGCATCTCTCCCCGGCTCCAGCCTCCCAAGTAGCTGGATACCAGGCGGCGCTAGCAGGACGTCTAGTTTTTTGTATTTTTAGTAGAGACCGGGGTTTCCCCACCAATGTTAGCCACGGATAGTCTCTGATCTCCTGACTGTGAGTCCCGCCACTCCGGGCTCCAAAGTTCTGCATTACAGCGCGCGCTTCCGAGCAGCCGCGCCCCGGCCCTCTGTTTCGTTTCTTGTCTTTTATGGCATCTCACTCTGTCATCAGGAGTGGGAATGCCAGTGGCTGATCATGCGGGCTCACGCGCAGCCCACGTCCTCTGGTCTCAAATGATTCACCACCTCAGCCTCCTGAGTAACTGGCGACCATAGGCACTGCCATCAGGCCCAAGCTAATTTTGAGAAGTCATTATTTTGTAAGACCAATGAGGGTTCCCCCTAAATACTTGCCAGCGTTGGCACCTGGCTCAGGTGATCCTCCCGCCTCAGCCTCCCAAAGTGTTGGGATTACAGGCATGAGCCACTGCACCTAAAGGTCAATTTCTTGAGTGCAACAATAAGACAGTGGCTACATGGGGAAGGTCCCTGTTCTCAGGACAATGTTGAAAAGGGTGAGTGTCCAGATATCTGCCACCTACTTTCAAACAGTTCCGTTTGAAATCTAAACATATCCAGTTCACTCCAGACAGGGAGAAAGAAAATGTGGCCAGATGGTAACATAAAAACTGGTAAGCCCAGATGAACGTATATGGATGTTCATGGTACTAATCTTAAGTTTGTCTAGAGTTTTTTAAAAAAATGTTTAGGTAAAAGCTGAAGGGAGGCCAGGCATGGTGGCTTACATCTGTAATCCTAGCCCTTGGGAGGCTGAGGTGGGTGGATCACCTGAGGTCAGGGGTTTGAGACCAGCCTGGCCAACATCGTGAAAACCCATTTCTACCAAAATATAAAAATTAGCTAGGAGTGGTGGTGGGCGCCTGTAATTCCAGCTACTCGGAGGCTGAGGAAGGAGAATCGGTTGAACCCGGGACAGGATCCCAGCCAGCCCCAACCCTGCTGGGGGCACCGGAAGACAGAGCCCACAGTTACCGTGGCTGTGCGTGCCTCTCTCCCCTTCGGCAGTCCTCGTCGACCCAGCAGCTAGCCAGTGGGACGGAGGGGTGCTGAGGTGGGCAAGAGAGCAGTCACCGATGGCACGGGGGATGTCTCCCCTCCACAGCCCAGTCCTAAAGGCAGGGAGGTTCAAGGTGGGAAGGACAGGCCCCCTTCCCACCTTAAACCTCCTCACCACTCCCCACACCAGAGTACCCTGAGTTTGGGGCCACACAGGAGCTGGAGGGTGCAAATAAAAGGAGGTGGTCAGAGGAGGGAGCAGAGCAACGCCCTGGCCAGATGAGGGGTACAATGCTGTATTTCAAAGACAAAGGGAGACCCCTTTCCTCCTTTTTAAAAAAATTTATTTTTAGTGATGCGGTCTCACTCTGTGGCCCAGGCTGGAGTGCAGTGGTACGAACGTGGCTCACTATAGCCTCGCCCTCCTGGGCTTAAGCAATCCTCTCACCTCAGTTTTTCCAGTAGCTGGGACTACAAACACACACCACTGTGCCTGGCTGATTTTTTAGTTTTTTGGTTTTTTTTTTTTGGTAGAGATGGAGGTCTTGCTATGTTGACCAGGCTGGTTTTAAACTCCTGGCCTCAAGCATCCTTCTGTCTCAGCCTCCCAGGCCTGCTGCGATTAAAGGTGTGAGACAACGCGCCCTGCCCTTCCCTCCTGACAGTTCTGTCCGTGGTGGACACGGAAGTGATTCTTCCAGGTCTAGCTCCTCTGGTCCAATCTGGATGACAGATCAGGGAAGGTGAATATACCTTGGGAGGGTAAGTTTTTGATGCTCGAAATGGGGGCATAACTGACAAAGATCAGGGCCCTAGAGTCAGGGGCTTGGGTATTA